AGTTGTTTTTCATAACTGAATTTTAATTTTGTTAATTAAAAATAACCTACATGTATTCAATGATGTGATAAGGACTGAGAAAAAGGGTAAATAAATACCTTTTGGTTCCTCCAGTAAGTTCTTAAGTCTGAAGATGATTTGAGCCTAAATATTTTTCAGAACATCAGGGCAAGTACATTCTGACATGATTAATTATTTTATGGTTCACTATCATAAGGAATTATAAAATAGCAGTAAGAGGGGCACATGGTCAGGGAAGATGTGTTTATTTCACAAGATGTGGGAAAATTAGGTAACTGTCAAAAGTCACATCATTACCTTGTGTGATTATGCAAAACCCTCTTCTGAACAGTCCTCTTCCCACCGTCCACACTAGGGCTCCTGTACCAAGCTTTGTTTTGGCCCACCCACCAGCTCCCAAATCAAGACATGGAGACTTCTTATTAGTTATGAATGCTTGGCCTTATCTTAGCTCTTATTTCTTGCTACCTTGTATAACTTAAATTATCCTGTTTGTCTTCATCTACATTTTGTCTCAGTGCTTTTTAACCACTCTTACTTTCTGTAAGTCCTATTTTCACTGCTTCTTGTGCCTGGTTTCTGGATACTCCCTGGCTTTCTGGACCTGGACATGTCCCTCTCTTTCTCCGTCATTCTCTTCCTTCATCTTTCTCTTCTCTTTCTCCCAGATCTCCCCTTCTATTTATTCTCTCTGCCCACCAGCCCCTCCTATCCTTTCTCCTGCCTAGCTATTGGCCATTCAGCTTTTTTTTGTTAGGCAAATATGGTGCCTTAGGCAGGCAAAGTGACAGGAATGCAACCCAGCTTTACATAATTAAACAAGTGCATCATAAACAAAGGTAATGTAGCTAGAGTTTTCCTGCCTGGCCCATAGTCAGGACAAATCTCTCTCACCCACCAGTCCCACAGCCGCTCAGACCCAACCAAGTAAACACAGAGACTTATATTGGTTACAAATTGTATGGCCGTGGCAGGCTTCTTGCTAACTGTTCTTACAGCTTAAATTAATCCATTTCTGTAAATCTATACCTTGCCACATGGCTCGTGGCTTACCAGCATCGTCATGTGCTGTTTGTCATCATGGCAGCTGGCAGTGTCTCTCTGACTCAGCCTTCCACTTCCCAGCTTTATTCTCCTCCTTGTCCCGCCTACACTTCCTGCCTAGCCAATGGCCAGTCAGTGTTTTATTTATTGACCAATCAGAGCAACACATTTGCCATACAGAACATCCCACAAGGTAATGCGTGTTTGAATCATTAGCAAAGGCAGCAGAAACAAATGTAACACACCTTCACATAGTTAAAGTAATATTCTGCAGTATTAACAAATGTAACACAGCTTTGCATAGTTAAAATAATATTCCACAACAGGCTCCAGCTTATTCTTTTTTTTTCCCTTCAGTTACACAGTCAGGTTCATCAAAAGGAGGGAAGATGTTTTAAAGACATCACAGTCTTGCCTTGAATTGACTACTCCAAGTTGTGATGTGGCCTCTTAGAAGTCCACACTACTTGAAATTCTCAAGGTAGTGCAGGATATTTGGTGAGAGATATTTTCTTCTGAGTGGAGGTGGATGTTCCAATTTCTAATTGAGACACTTCTGTTGGAGAATTTTAGGAATCAAAGAAGCTTTAAAAGATGACCTTACCCTTTCCAGAGTACAGATAAAAGTGGGCTCTGAACATTGTTTAACTGACAGGGGTCTAGCCTCCTCTTGATCTTGGTCATCAGTTCATAGGAGGGAAACACAACCTTCACTTCAATAGTTGGCTTTTCTGGCCTTCATGAATTTTAACTTTTTTTTTTCTCCGCAAAGTTTAAAATTTATGATATGAGAGCATTGTAATTATATTTTTATGCTTTCACTGCAAATTTAATAGTTGCCCACTGTAAAAACCTTAGTGTCTAATACTAGATTCCTCCGTGGTTGTTTTTATACAATTGAGCCACAACTAAACTATAGACTGTGGGTAGACATTAGCTCCATTTCTTACTTACCATGAGTAAATGCTTTATAGTCCGCTCCTTCAGTTCTTATGCCACTGACACTGGGATAATAGTAGTGTGCAAAATGTGGGATTTTTGAAGATTAATGTCTATATATTCATGCTAAGTTAGTGACCTGTACAAACAAAAAGTACTTATTTAAATTAGCACCTACAGTCATTGCTATAGTGGTAACACCTGTTATCTAACGATACTAGCTGTTCTTAGATGTTATGTTCTGTATTCTTAAATCAAAGCGTTGTAGGTTTTTCTGTTTAATGAGTTATTAACTTTCAGAATTTATACGCACATAAAGACAGACATATATACCTACATATCATAACATATATATAACACTAAAGATGTGTGTGTGTGTAATATATATTTCTATAAAACATACATGAGGTTTTCTCTACATTTTTATACTTGTTGCTATTTCAGTTGTTGATTATTTTTGAAGTAGTTCATACCTGACTACCTCTCTGTTTTGTATTCACTATAATTTTTACCTTTTGACTAGATTCTGTTTATGTGGGTCCATGCCAACTGTTTTCACTAAATTTTTTTAACATCTTAAGTACCTACAACTATCCAAATAGCTTTGACTTGGGCTTCATCCTTTAGATTTGTATGCTCTGAGTCCTTTCTAGTGGTGAGTACGTTGTTCCCTCCTCCTGCTCCCTGCCTGATGAACTCTTTAGACTTCTACCTGGAGTTTTCTTTCATTTCTGGTGCTCACACTCAGTTACAACACACTTCCCTTTAGTTTGAACTGCTACAAAATTTTACTTCACCATCTGCATAACTTTTCCTGTTTTATGTATTTCTAATTTTAATTTTCCTTTTTAAAGTCTAAACATACATTTCCATTTGATTGTTGGTCTACATTGGAATGTATTAATTGTATTTGTCTAAAATTAATACATAGAAAATATAAACCACTATTTCTTCCTAAATTTATTTTTAAAATATTTCTTTTATTTTCAATTGAAATATCGTTACATAATTTCTCCCCTCCTCTTTACTCAATACAACTCTTTCTACTGCCCTCCTTACACCCTCTCAAATTTATGGCCCCTTTTCCTTGATTATTATTGTTTTATATATGTGCAAATATATGAATACAACCTGTTGAATCCATTTGGTGTTATTCGTAGGTATGATTTCAGAAATGACCACTTGGAATTGGATAACCAATTATGGAGTTTATTCCTGGAGAAAACTAATTATCTCCCTCACAGCATGCATTAATTGCCTGTAGTTCTTTGTCTAGGGATGGGACCCTTGATATTTTCCACTTCCATATTAGGATGTCTTCTGTCCATGTTGCCATCACTGGGTTGTATTTAGGTACATATATTGTTGCTGCATCATGGTTGAAATTTCCATGTCATTTTGAGGAAATGCAACTTCACAACAGACTTCCTGACCCTCTGGCTCTTCAAATATTTCTACTCTCTTCTGAAATGTTCCCTGAACCTTAAGTGCAAGAGCTATGTTGTAGATGTGTGCACTGGGACCAGGCACCCAGTCATCATTTGTCTTCTGCATTTTGACTACTTGAGCTTTCTGTATTGGTCTCTGTCTTCTGTAAAGAGAAACTTCTTTGATGAAGGGTAAGAGCTATAGTTATTTGTGGATGGATATAAAAATACATCTTTAGGATGTATTATGAATTATGCTGGTCAAGTAAAATAGTGGTTTTAGATTCTCCTCTAAGATCCCTGGCCTTACTAGCCCAAGGTAATTGACAAGGTTTTCAGTGCCAGGCATGATTTCCCTCCTGCTGATTGGGCATTAAGCACAATACAATAGCTCTTCGTTACTGCCAAGCTCTAAGTGCCACTATTGCGCTATTAAGATAATCTTGCTATGCTGGCTGTTGTTGTGGTTCATGGACATCTTAGCTAGGTAATACTACTGATTGTGTCTCCACTTGGGCAGGTTGCATAGCACTTTCCAGTTCCGTGAAAGTTAAACCTAGCTTTCAGGTCAGATCCAATTAAAATCTTCTAAGTCCTGTGTCCGAAGTACATGATGTGACCCTTCAGCAGTAGGGTCACAAATATTTAAGAGGAGTAAGCTTATTCCAGGTGTGGTCAGAAAGTGATACATTCACAGAAAAGTTTACAGAAATATGAGAATATGAGCTTGCCTATTTTAAAGGCCACAGCCAATGATAGCAGGTTGTTCTTAGGGTGGAAAAAAAAAAAACCACATCCTTCCCTGCCGTCTCCAGGAAGGCTTGCCTTAAAAATCTATTTTAATTGAAGGAATCTCAATAAAATTCCTCACTGTAGACCTATAAGATGATAACTATGAATACTGTTGATGTTTATAAAATTTTAGTACAAATAGGAAATAATTGGTTACATCATTAAGCTTCCATCAATGTATAGAAAGGTGCTTTGTTCATATTCTCTATTCCACCAACTGTCCTTGTCCTCTACCCTCTCCTGCTGGTATCTTTTGTCCTCCAAAATATTCTTACTTATGCTTTGATGTCTATGTCTGTCTATCTATCTGTCTGTCTGTCTATCATCTATCTAGCTAAACCTAGGCTCTGCACATGGGAGAGAGCATGCAAAGTTTATCTATCTTCATTGTATCTCAGTATTACTCATAATCTTCATCCTCCTTCCTTTCAGAGTCCTTCCTCTTACCACATAGTCCACTTTTCTATTCATCTATCAATTATCTATCTTTTTATCTATCTATCTATCTGTCTGTCTGTCATTTATATATGTATATATTATTATTATTATTATTATTCCTGTCATCTCTCTCATATATATGTGTACATACACACGTTTATGTATGTACATGTATATTTATATATATGCATCTATAAATATATATATACAAATACACACACACATATATATATATATATTACAGTCATATAAAAAAACATGAAATATTTTCTGATGACTTCTAGTTTCACCCATTTTTCTGTAAATGACATAATTTTCACCTTGCTTATAGTTGAATAAAATTTCATTGTTCGTATGTTCCACAGTTCTTTTATGCATTCTTTTGTTGATAGGCATACACATTGGTTTCATGACTTTGCTGCTGTGAATAATGCAGAGTTAAATGTGAGTATTTAAATATCTTTTGTGTATGCTGACAGATTCCTTTGTATATAGAACAAGCACTGGGCTAGCGGAATCATGCAGTGGCTCTACTTTTTTTATTTTTAACCTTTCATACTTATTTCCATGTGGATCCATCAGAAATGGGTGGGGATTTCTTTTCTCCATGTTCTTGACAGCATTACCATCATTTGTTTTCTTGGGGTAAAGTGGACTCTCAATGTGGTTATAGATTTCACTCTCCTGATGACTAAGAGCTCTTGCTATTGTTTTTGTGATTTTACCAGCATTTGTATTCTTTGTGTGTGTGTGTGTGTGTGTGTGTGTGTGTGTGTGTGTGTGTACCACAGCATCATTGTGGAGGTCAGATATAACTTTTTTTTGTTGGGGGATGTTTCAAGACAGGGTTTCTCTGTGTAGCTTTGCACCTTTCCTGGAACTCACTCTGCAGACCAGGCTGGCCTTGAACTCACAGAGATCTGCCTGTCTCTGCCTCCCAAGTGCTGGGATTAAAGGTGTGTGTCACCACCGCCCGGCATCAGCTATAACTTTTAGAGCCCATTTTTCTCCTTCCATCATGTTGGTCATAGGGATAGAACTCAGATCATGAAGCTTGCCAACAAGTTTTCTTACCCACTCTGCCACCTCCCAGACTTCTTTTGATTGTTTTTTTTCTTTTTTTTTTCTGGGGGGAGGGGTATATATACCATTTATTTGCCAATTTATTGATTGGATTTTTTTTTTTTTAGTATTGGCTTTTTTAGCTTTTTTGTGTATTCTAAATATTAAAATGATCCCATGTGTGGCTGCAAAGACTTCATCCCACTCTGTAGGTTCTCTTCAGTGTGCTAATGGTTATTTATTGCATCCCCACTTATCAATTATTAGAGTTATCCCAAAATGTTATGACATCATGATCTTTGATCCACTTTGAAATGACTTTGGTATAGGCTCAGAAAGAGGGATATTGTTTCTTTCCTCTACATATGAATATTTCATTTTCTCACCACTGTTTCTTGAAGAAACTATCTATAATGCAATGCATGCTTCTTACTACTAAATGAAGTGTCTATGGCAGGTGGGTGTCTCTGAGTTTCTTATTCTACTCCACTGGTATACGCATACACATACACACACACACACACACACACACACACACACACACACACACACACACACACAAATATACCTGTTTTGAACTGGTGCCATGCATTTTTTCTTTTCAATCATGACACAGTAATACAATTTAGAATCAGAACCAGAAGTTATGAAAACTCTAACATTGCCCTTTCTTCTTGCAATTGCATGCCCCCAATGGGATCTATTCTTTTGCCTTGGGGTACTATGTTTAGGGCATCTTGCTATAATGGTTGTAGAAAAGTTATATAACTGGTGTATCTCACCTTTTAATGGCTTATTTCATTAACAAAACTATTTTTCCTTTCTTCATCAAGCTTTTTTAATGAATAAAACTTAAAAGCAGACATTCATTGAATGGAAAATTAAGAACTAGAATAAAATATTAATAAAATAAATACCATGAGTGTCCTTTCACCTAGAAACAATGAGTACTTTTATTAAATTAAAAAGGGGGTAGAACCAAACATGACTGACCAAGAAAAAAACCCAAAAAACAACAAAAAAAGAACAAGTCAATGAAATGATTCCTAATGATATTGTACTGTACTCTTAGATCAGTGCCTAGCCCAATGGTCATTAGAGAAGCTTCCTCCAGCAGCTGATGGGAGAAGATGCAGAGAGCCACCATCAGACATTGGGTGGAGCTCAGGGAATTCTGCAGAGGGGAGGATGAAGAATTGTAGGAGCCAGAAGGGTCAAGGACACCAGAAGAACATGGCTTACAGAATAAACTAAGCAGGCTAATAAGGGCTCCCAGAGACTGAAATGACAATCACAGAGCCTGCAGGGGTCTGCATCAGGCCCTCTGCATCCATGCTGTGCTTCTTTAGCTACGGGTTTTTGTTGTACTCCTAACAATAGGAGTGGGGGTGTTTCTGACTCTTTTGTGTCCTTGTGGGTCTTTTTTCTCCCTACTGGGTTGCCTTGTCCAGCCTTGGTATCTGGGTACATCCCTAGTCTTATTGCATCTTGTTATGCAGAGTTTGGTTGATATCCCTTGGAGGTCTGCTCTTTTCTGAAGGGAAATGAAAGAGGAGTGGATCTAGGGGAAAGGGGAGGTGGGGAGGGGCTGGGAGGAGGGAAGGAATGGGATGCTGCAGTTAAGGTATAATGTACGAAAGAAGAATAAATAAATAAAAATAAAATTTAAAAAGTACCACAAATATGTACTTTTTAATGGGGATATACTGAACAGCCAGAATTATAAATTATACTTAGTATGATTTTCTTTATTAGTCAATAAACATACTTCCACAGGTTAATTTGTAATCAGTTGTTGACTTCTGAAATTTATATGTTTGTAAGATAGTTTCCCCAAAAACCTCTAATGTTGGACAGTGACATCACTTTCCATGTATTTATGATTCTGTTGCATTCTGGTTCTAGAGAAATGTATAAATGTGTTATCCATAGTATCTTGGACCCTTTATCCCCTCCTCTCTTCCAGTTTTTTTTCAATAATACATACACACACACACACACACACACACTATATATATATATGTATATAATATGTATGTATATATACATATATACATTTACATATATGAAAGAAAGTTTAATACACAAAAGAAACAGACTACAACTATTCATGGTTTCCTTCCAAATATTTTATTTTATGTTTATTAATTGTTTTGTTTTATATATGTGGGTGTTTTGCTTGTATACATGTCTGTGTACCAGGTATGTGTCTGTTGCCTTCCAAGGCTAAAAAGTGTTGTTAGATCTCCTAGAACTAGAGTCACAGACAGTTGTGGGTTGTCATGTGGGTGCAGAGAACCAAAAGTGGATCTCTGGAAAAGCAGACTGTGCTCTTAATTTCTGGGCCATCTCTCTAACCCCATGTTTGAAATTATATCCGAGTTTTATTTTTTGTCCCAGTGTTTACCCCGAAATAAGTTTCATATGTATTTTAATGAGCTGTCATCCATATTGTTACAAGTTATATCATGAAAGTCATCATGTTATTAAGCTGTGTAAATAAATAATTATGTTTAACATATATCTTTCAAAAGCAGTTTCCCATTTTTTTTAACCTTGTAAACATTCCTGAAGCCAGAGGTTTTATATACAATACTCTTTTGCTATTAACTTCTAATTTGAAATATTTTGTTTTATATTTTGGTTTCTGTTTGTCTCATTTTATTTTGAGGCAGGTTTTGCTGTACATTTAGATTGGCTCTGAACCGAATGTGTAAATCAGGCAGGCTTTGAACTCTTGGGGATTCCCCTGCCTCACTCTCCTGAACACTAGGATGACACAGTGCGCCTGGCTGATAAAATGTCTAGAAATCAATTTCCTCTCCCAAAGTTATATATAAATTGAAGCCATGGACCCCATATGAACAAACCATTGTCCAACAAATTTTAATTCCGCTCCTGGCTTGCAATGGCTTTCTTTCCCTATAGAAAGCATACAATATTCAGTTTCCACATTTCAAGGGAAATATATTTGTCTTTTCTTAGGAATAAATTCTGATTTATGTAAGCCAGATATTGTCAATTATGTTCTTTTTTCATCAAATGATTTGTGGGTCAGGCCATAAATCAGTTCCAGCTAAAGACTTCTGAAATGAAAGGGGGGGCGGTGCATTTCTTAGCTCTTAAAAAATGATGCAGTGAACTCTTCTTTCCCTCTGTCAAATTTTATGATATTATATTTATCAATATTTCTTATAGATTCTCTAGGGCTTTTGACTTTCAATTTGTCAATCCTCTATGTTTTCTAATTGAGCCCTGTCCTCTTCAGTCCCATCACCGTGAAGTCACACAGCACGCCTCATGCCTGAGTGTATTTTATTGGATCATTTCATAGTTCATTAAAAGAACCACATTTTAAACAGTTCAGCTGCAAATAAAAACACCAAGAGGTACTACTGCAAAGCTGTTCTGTACATCTAGCAGAACAGCTCGGGCCTCTGGTTAGCTATCAAACTATTCACTGTGACCAGGCCATTAGTAATGATAACATCCCCTTTGAAACTTACATACATCAGTCCACAGAAGTTCAGTGACTTTTACTCTGTGCATGTCATGTAAGAGTCAGTGTATCTGTTACCCACTGTGCTAGTTTCCATTCTTCTCTTGAGAAGGTACCTGAGGTGTGCAGTTTCTTCCCTAAGAAACCTGAGGAGTTCCATGATCTTTAGTGACCAACATAATACAATACTCTAACCACTGAGTTCATCCTGCAATACTTCTGGTGATATGTTTCTTTATCCATTTCCTTTAGTGTGCATGGTACATGGCTGAAGCTCCCCTTAATATGGAAGAATTTGTAGATTCCATGTATCTCTAAGATTTTTTTTCTTTCCTTTCAGTTAAAGACCATATTCTCAGTTTTGATTAATTTGAGGGCCAATGTATAGAATGAGTTGTGATTTTATAAATGATCCAAATGAAAAGTATTTAGATCATGTTCAATGTTTTCAGTATTTATGTCCAAGTTTTATAGTATCTAAATTTCATAATGAAAATATTCAGTAAGCATCATGTACCATGGAACAAATGGAGTAAAAGCTTCCATCTTCAGGCCTTTTCTGGAAAAGTTTACATGTGTGAAGGAAACCAAATGTTTGTCTGTTTCACAATGCTGTTACAAATGCATGAGGCAAATGATTTATAATGGGTAAAGTTTTATTATAGCTCACAGGTTTGGAAGCTTTAGTCAACAGTTGTGTGGAAACTTGGCTTTTAAAGTTCTGACAATAAAGTCAGTGACAGTGACAGAAGTGTGTGATGGAATATAAGTGACCAAGATGCTATACATGGAAATGCCTTGCATCCCACAGTCTCCTTTCATGACATCTCAGGAGGTCCTACTTCTCAAACTCTCTACCACCCAACAGTGCCAAATGAGAGTC